GGCACACTTAACTAATTTACAGTGGACAGGCATATGCACTCAGACGCATCCTGGTCCCCGAGGTGGGCTGAGTGAATTTGCCTTTCAAGGGTTTCAGCCTTACGGGAAACCAGCCAAATGCAGAAAGCAAAGACCTGCTCGAGACCTGTGCAGGTGGATGTGAACCCCAAGTCTGACATCCTGCTGATCTGCTGAAACCGGACCCTAGGGCAGCAGCATCAGGGTCAGACTTCTTGGGAGTCCCAGCCCGGAGAGGTAAGTCTGAGCCTCAGGTTCCAGTCCCAGGGTGATCTGTCATCGACAGAGCCTCCCTCTGCCGGAAGCAGTTGACCTTGACCCTGTCACTTCCTGAGTCTCCAATCCTGGCAAGCGAGAACCACAAACCAGGCAAAAGGGAAAGAGCAATGTTTCAGAGAAAGGCACAGGCCAAGGCCAGGCAGGAAGTGCAATGCGTATTAAAGCTCAAACCATGAAGAGAACAGACCATGGTATGTCATACACCCCATGCTCCGTCGATGTGGCAGGTCAGGTGACCGTGAGTGTGGGCCTCTCCGGGTGTACCAAGCTCATGTCCAGAGTGTGTGCACATACCAACATAGTAAGAGTAACTGAGGCTGAGTGTGCAAAACTAAAGATGTCTATCTACTCCGAAGGCATGCTGAAGACAGCACACATGTCAAGTTTCCCACCAGTGCACCGTCGGTCACTGCTGTGAGCATGGGTCACCTAGGCTACCAAGAATCACCGCTGGCACACGTCCTTTCTGATGGCGAGTGGAGTCCATTGGGATCAAGGACAATCGGGGTGTTGTACTCCAACTTGATCAGTTTCTGGAGACCAGCGGGGCATGGACCCCAATTCCCACTGATCAGGGTGCTCTCTTTGAAGAACGTGTTTCCTCCTGCATGGTATCTTCTTGTGAGTTTTTCCGGTGACTGGATTAAGAGTCCATTACTGATCAGCCAACTGCTTATTCCACCTCTGCTTGCACGGCCTGCATCCCAGCTGCCAGGCTGCCGGTGGGCGTTTGCCTCCCCTAAGGAAACGCCAGTTAAAGAAAACAGATCCACACGCCCTGCGTCTGGACAGATAATGGAATAGTGGAAGGGGATGAGGACACTCTGTCTTCTCTAAATCAAGCAGAGAGCACTATAAACTGCTGCAAGGTAACCCTCTGTGCTGCCCATCACCAAACACAGAGAAGGGACCCCGCAGGCCCAGCGGCCCCAATCAGAAACTCGTTGAAAACCTGGGGGATGTAAACCACATGGTTCTGCCGAGGAAACTGGGGGGAAGGACAACATCCAGGTTTCAAAGGTTGACCTGCAAAACGTCTCTGCCAAAACACGAACTGCTCCACTGCCTCCCCCCCACCCCCTCGCTCCCACCAAGAGATCATGCACCAAGCAGCACTGCCTCCTGGACTGTGTTCTTTGAGGTTCTCCTGCGGCTCCTGGGCCATCTCACACCCGGGGGAAGGCAGGGTTTCCACCCATCACAGGAGGAGGCAGTCCTTGCGTCCAACGCTGCTTCTGTCTAGACGCTCTTCCCCGGAAGTCCACCAACCAGCAAACCCATGTTCACCTCTCTGGGAAGTAGCTTCAAGCAGTGGCCACATCGTGACTACGTAACTTGACGACATCCAGTGGAGAGAGAATTTTCTGGAATCACCTTAGCAGAACAGCAGCCGAGAAAGACACAAATCGCCACACGGTCCGCCCGAGTGCACATACAGGATCCCGATGCCGAGAGGCAGAATTCAAGCCTCCCTCTGAAAAGCCTTTAATTAAATAACAACCTTAAGGAAGAGCCCTCCCCCCCACCCGTCCTGCTCCACCCCCAGGCTGATTTTGTCTGCAGAATGAAAGAATGGACGTGGGCAACTCTTGGGTTGGAGCTGAATCTGGCAGGAAAGCTTCACAAAGTTGGATAAGCAGTTAGACGCTGCTGTTCAGAATGAGATGCCAGGCTCCGTCCTCACATGGACCAAAGCAGGCTTCCTCTGCCACGCGCTTCTCCAATAATACGCCTTTCCTAACATGGCAATGGCTGGTTTTAGAAGAATGGAGCAGATTAAAAAAAATAGTCATATATTATTTTTTAAGACTCGTACTTGCTTCTCTGTGTGTCTATTAAACAAACACAAGGGCGCTCCCAAATGTTTGTGGGAAACATTCCGTCCTCTATTTGTCCCATGGTTTGCAATGACTCTTTGGTGACTCCGATGCTTACATACGTATGCACAGAGGGGGCTTGAAGGAAGCTCCATTATCTTCCAATTCCCGTTGTCCCAGAGACAGTCGAAAGTGTGCACGGTAGGCCTATGGTGAGTGTGTGTGTGAGTGGGTGTGTGTGTGTGTCCCCACAGTGCCCCTCCCCTGTGGTTACCTGTTACAGTTTACCTCTCACCCTGCCATTATCACAGAGCTCCACGCGAGAGCCAGCCAGGCCAGTAAGGAAAGTAGCTCATAGTGTCTAATTTTCACAATGCCAACAATGTCTATGGCACGCTAACACAGACATGAAGCATGTTGTGAGCCCCTCCCCATCCCACTTTTCTTTGCACAAGAACCAAACTCCCATGAACACCCATGTCTGCAGTGACGACGATGTAAGAGTTCGGTTTTTAAAGGGCTTTCGTGAAAAGCCACGCTCCCATGCCACCCCCTCCCGTGAAAGCAGCCCCCTGTCTGTGGATGGGCCTCCCTGTCTCGAGACCCCCGGGAGACCCCCAGCTCCATTCTGATCGCAGGCTTGGAGGTGGCTGTCCAGGGGTTCCGTGGGACCTTCCATGTATGAGAGTACACCAGCAGGGACCGGACTGCCACCCTGGGCAAGGGGCTCACAGGGTGATTCTCAGAGAAGTGTCCCCAATGTGTACATCGGCAGGAATAATAGGCAGCCAGCACCTGACACAAGAGAGGATCCCAACCCGGGCCTCTGTGTAGGTGTTTGCCGGGCAGGGAGAGAGTGAAAAAACGGGAGCCGAAGGAACTGGCCATGCTCATTCCACAGCAAGGGCTCGAAGCCTCCCACAGACACACATAGCGGCGGGCCGGGGGGAAGGAAGGCGGCAGACCAAAGTCACAACCCTTCAAATCAACTCCACAAGTATCTGCTGAGAAGCCAAGAAGACGAAGTTATAATTCTGAGGACCCAGGAAGAAGACTCCCTGCCTCCCATTCCCCACCCCCCATCCAGGCTTGTCCGTTGAAATGAAACAATATGCCCAGCTTGTCCTGGGTTCTCTCAGCCAAAGGCCTGGAGGGTAATGAGTGGGAGCGAGGAGGAAAAGAATGAACTTTCAAACACAGCCTCTGGGGTCTTTTGGTCTCCCTCATTGCTGCCTACATCTCCTCTCGGAAGGCAAGAAAGCCTCCCTCCTCCACGGTGAGGATGATCCGGTTAAGCCCTTAAGTCTGGACTCAAAGAGGACACGTGTGCCCCCCTCCCCAACTTCTGAATCAGCAGACAAGCACTGCTTTGACACCACCCCCCCACACACCCCCAGGGCAGAAGCAAGCTCTTCACACCAATGGCCTCAGCGGCCAGCCCTGGGGCTGCCTACTGCTGCCCAGATAAACTAGAGAGAGATGGCGGCCCACGTGACCAACCACGCTGACACAGCATCATTGCCAAAGCCAGAGTGTAATGTGGCCATAGTACCATGATCAATCCTCCCTCGAAAAGTACAATGGACAAGCCCCCCCTTCGGAACACTGCAGGTCCGGCACCTGGGCAGCCTTGACCACAAGAGTCTGTCTGTTGGCAGAGGCCAGTCCACATGCCACAGGGAGCTCCCGGGACGGCCACTTCTGGAGCACGCAGGTGTCCTGGGGAGGACAGACAAGATGGCCATGGGCGTCCGGGCGAGACATTCGTCCGGTGTTACCTTCTGGGATAGGCGTGCCTGCATCCCGTTCCCAGGCATGGGATTGGGTGGTTTGTCTCCCCACAGAAATAAAAGGAAAACGCGGATAAGCGGCAGGATGCAGCTCCTCCCTGGTCGTCCAGCGTCAGTCTTCCAAGCCCGACAGCTTCTTGGGGGCACTCTCCGGGGCCGTGGGCTGCGTCATGACCCATATGGGGCTCTCCTCCCCACGGATCACCTTCTCCCACTGGTTGAGGTTATTCCTGGCGAGAGAAGACACCATGGCAGGTCAGCTTCAGGAATGCGCTGTGGGCTGGGTCTCGGGAAGCCTCCAGAACCCGGTGGCTTCCCTTAGCGTCTCCTGTCTCGACTGACAACGGGGTGATGCCCTCAGACGGCTCTCGCTACGGGGTTTGGTTTAAAACCATACCCTCCCCTCACGACCATGGTACAAGCGTGCCACCCAAAGACCCATAATCCTCAATTCACCACCACTCCACCCCGAGTGTGGGCATGGCACTGCCACGCACTTACAAGCCCCCACCCCTAAGACCTCCAATACTTAACCTGAGGTGGGGGATCACACACAGCTCCTCTATTCTCCCCCGCCCCTGAGGGAACTTCTATTAAAAATAAAATCTTTTTTAAAATGCAATCTTTTCACCGAGTTCCATCATGAAAACAGAGAGCGAGAGAGGAAGCAGCAGCAGCAGGAAGGAGGAGGAGGGAGGGGAGGAGGGGTGGAGGAAAAGGAGGAACAGAAAGCAAGCAAGCAGAAAGTAGATCAGGTTAGAGTTTTTTAATCCTAACCCTTGCTTTGGAAGAGCCTAGAACTGGATCAGGAGGATCCCCTTTGGAGCTTCTCCCGCTTCCCGGAATGCAGTGGCCAGGCACGGACAGACGCCCTGTCCCAAGGATCACCCCCTGCACAGCACGGCCCCACACTGGTGACCCTGATGAGCAGGCAAACATGCCAGAACCTGACTCTCTTCGGACTGTAGCTGAGACGCACCACACCCATGGACAGAGTGGGAAGGGCCCCCACGATGGTTCAGGGTTTGCGGCCTGTTTGTGCAATGCCCCGACCTCAGGCAGCTGGACGGACCTGCAGGCGTTGAGGAGCGGCTCCGTGGGGGGCAGGATCTGGTGGAGGGTCGTGTAGCAGGGGATGGCCACCGCGTTGTAGAATCCAAGCTGCTCCGGCCACGCACAGGAAGAGGAACAAGAGCGCTCATTAGCAATCCCAGGGCACCTAGCACACCGCGCTCTTCCAGAGGAGAATGACCTGGTGGCTTCTGAAGCCTCACTGTCGCTTCCGACGCTCTACTCTGGCCCCAAGTGACATGGGACTCCACGAACACTAACACGGGACTCAGAGAAGTGCTTTGCAGTAGAGCCTAAGGACCAAGTGTACGGTCATCCACAGCCACAGACCTGGGATGGGCGCAGCCGCGCTCTCATGCGGCAGAGCGCATTGCAAAGTGGCTTGCTGCAGGTACAGTTAGATTAAAATCTGACACCTGATCACACGACCTCCCTTGTGTCCCACTTAAAATGTGTCCTAGTGTTTAATATCCTCTACTTTCTTTGTGATTGAGGGTTGTTGGGGGTTTTTTAATCTGTTCTGTTGTTAGTTTTTTGGTTTTTTTCCTTTTGTGATATTTTTTGTTCATGAGATCCAGTGGAGCTAAAACTATAGAGATGGTAACTGGATTAATGGTTCCTTAGCAGGGGAGTATGGAAGGAATCAGGGAGCAAATAACAGTGAAGAAAATGTTCCAGAACTGATTGTGTTGTTGACTGTACCACTCTTCTTGATGCGGCTGAACGATTGAATTGTATGATATGTGAATGATATACCAAGAATACTGTTTAAAATAATATAAAATATAAATAAATATAAATATAATATAAAATATAGTATATAATATACATCATCTCTTTCTTATACATTAAAATATCTATCTTGACGTTTTTAAAGAACCTTTCCATTTTCAGTGACGGGGCCCGCACGGTAGGTGAGCCGGTGGGGTCCTGTGTGCAGTGACCTATCCTATTTCTCACAGAAGACTTCTGCCAGAGTTTCATGGGTGTGCGGGGAGCAAGCAGTATGTGTCCTGCAATTGCCTGGCATGCCCTGAATCAAAATTCATGAGTAGATTCCCCAACGAGGAGCAGCTGGACTCCTGACCTTGTATGGCTCTTCCTGGCCTGCCATCTCGACCTCGGTGGAGAGGATTGTTGTGGAGGCCTGGGAACAGTAAGTACCTGACTCCCAAGGCAGCACTGGGCACCCAGGGGGCCACAGCACATCCAAGCTACTACCCTCCCTGCAGGGGACCAGACAAGGGAAGCTGCCATCATTTTCCTGGGTCGGAGAGAGAAGTTAGGTGGTTAGGATCATTCTCCAAGAGAACTTCCAACCAAGGGGATGGTTCACATATGACCGTGTGAATCCACGTCTTTCTAGCCACACTCCCAGGAGGGCAGGGCCTTTGTGGACAGTTATGCATAAGGCGATGGCACCCGGATGGAGCTGGCTGGACTGGGGCTGCAATGTTTCCTTTCTGTGAGTCTCGGTGAGTCCTCAGAGAGGGGTTCTTTCATCCATGCGCCCCAGACAACCGGTTTCCAGGAAAGGAGACAGGAAGTAGGCTATGTTGCTGTCTCACCAGGGCTATGAACACGCTGCCTCAGCATTTTGCACAAAGGGGACTTTCATTTAAATACAGTCGGAACTTTGGAGACCTTATCCAAGCCATCACCCTGTGGTGCAGCCCTTACAATGGCCTGCTTGCTGCAATCCTATCCCAAGGAAGAACTGATGGCAAAGGCAGTTAGGAATCACGTCAATCCAGACCACTGGGGTCTCTCAGTGCTGGTCTTACTGTCTTCCAAACCGAAAACCCACTGCAGGTGAGTCAAGCCCACTCACTCCCAGGGACCCTGCAGGGCAGAGCGGGGCTACGGCTGCACATCTTTGCAAAAGCAGGCCGCTTCCTCTTGCTCTGATAGACATGCGGGTGGGTTCACACAGTAGACCTTTCAGCTCCCCCTCCAGTGCCTCACCCACTGCATCACCAGGCTCCTCCTTACGCAGCCCTGGCCGTCTGCACGGAGAAGGGCTCCTGGGGCTATGCACAGACGCTATGTCCTTCCCAGCCCCCACCCAGCCTCGTGGCTTCCCAGGTTGCGATCGTGTCAGCTGGCTCCCCAACCCAGGTCAACAGGCCCGAGTTCTCTGAGTCCACGCTCCCTTCAAGGACAGGCGACACCTAGGAGGGTCTTCACAAGTGACGGTTCCCCTGACAGACAGTGACCAGAGGGTCAAGGTCCTACAGGGTGAACTGCTCATGGCTATGCATGCATCACCAGCCCGGGACTGGCTCATCCTTTTATCCAAATTGTACTGCAAGGGGGCACGCAACTTCCATCATGTGGAGCACAGTTCCCAAATGTATTTGGCTGACTGCCCTCTTTGGGGGGGGGGGGGGGGTTACTCAGCACTCCTCTGGCAACTGAAATCGTTCTCACTCTAGTCCACCACCCAGGGTGACGTGTAGATAGCTGCTTTTGCCACCCCACCTCCCCCTCATCACCCCACCCCCAGGGGCCGGTACTGTCCACCATGGGGAACACCGCTGTAGAGCCTTAGAACTACTTTAGACCATTTCACTTCGAACAAGGTGATTCATACTTGGCCTTGAGGGACTTCCCCCCGTTTTTCTCGGTCCATCATGGGGATGGGCTGGATGCCCAGCTTCTTCATCTCGTCGCCCTGCGATCAAAGGAGAAACAAGCGAGTCAGACTCTCCATTCACAGCCAGAACACTCTCCGTCTAGGCACGTTCTGTCCTTTCTTCGCTGATCTGCTCGTTAAAAAGATGGTGTTTTTGTGTCCTGACCCAAGAGAAGCGTGGCCCATGAACGCATCCTGCTTTGGTGTTTTATCCTTGATGGTTCTCCCACCCCGACTTTCGGGACGCCCAGCCAGCTCTTCTATGTTCATTCTGCAGAAGGCAGGGGACGTTACCAGGAGAGCAGAGGTAAGATCTGCTGCTGAGAACCCAAACACGGACCCGTGTCAGACCTCTCCACTGTCTGCTTCCAATGCCATCTCCTCTCCACTGCACTGGGTGAAGCTAAGCTCTAGGACGGGCAGCTGGTAGGACACAGCCCCTGAGGTGCCAAGGTGAAAGCAAACAGAGTCGTGGGCCAAGACTCTGTTGGGAAAGAGACACAGTATTTATTCCCTAGCTGCATGTTATCGTGAAAGTTATTATTGCAGGCTCTGGGCTAAGTCATTAGCATACAGTATTTCATCTAATCCTCAGGCAATGCTACGTATGAGATACAGACAGTGAGACCACCCCCACCCCCTGAGCCCCCCATTTCAGAGTTTTCAAAACTAGCTGGCTCGTTGCGGGTATTTGTGAGAGGCAGCGCTTCCCCCCACATTCAGCAGGGATGTTAACAACCTTTGTTCACTGAAGAGCAAAGACAAGACTATGCATCAGGTAGTCAGGTCTACCGTGGGAGACTCAAGTTCACCGCATTGGAGTCGGTTCTCATCACCACAACCCAACAGGAGAGGGGGGACTGTCCTGGCGTGTCTCCTAGACTGTCACTCTTTACCTTCACAGGAGTAGAAAGCCCTGTCTGGTGGCTTCAAACTTCTGGTCCTGTGGTCAGCAGCCCAATGTGTAACCCTAACTGATATGCCCCCAGGGCAAAATCTACTAAAGAGATGTCATCTTGGCATGCATGTTTTATTGCAGAAATACAGCTGCCGCGGTGTGAAATATATCCTTGTTGAATAAAACTGTCTTCAAAGCAACAAGCTGCCATCAGGCTGCATGTCCTATGTGGCATTTAAGGACCCTGACTCTAGAGTGACCACTCCCAGCTGCACCCTAAGTTGGCAGTGACAGTGACATCACATGTGATAGTCAGACACACACACACACACACACACACACACCCCTGACGCCATCTTTCTCAAAGGGGTCTGGCCGTCCCCGTAAAGCATCTACGAGAGAAAGACCCTGGGCAGGCCTCCCCAAGAAATCCCCACATCAGCTGGAGACCGAGCTTTGGTTCCAGGTCATCACAATGGTCTGGCTTCACTGCTTATGGAAGGACCCAAGTTCATGGACCGTTTCTGCTGAACAGGCTGCTGTTTTTACCCATCCTTCTGCCAGCAGCTCTGAGGGGGGGAAGAGGTGGCTCTCTACTCCCATAAAGAGTTACAGTCCCCCAAACCCACAGAACAGAGCCTGACATCGTCTCTCATCAAATTCATCACTGGCAGGTGGGTAGACAGTGCAGTGTGTCTGCCACTCCCGGTGTGGGTGGTGGGAAATGATTGTTCTCCTGGCCCATAGGGCCACTGTGAGTCTGTATGGGCTCAATGGCAGGGGGAATTTGCCTCTCCTGATGAATCACCAACTATCAAACGCTTGTCCTCCAAATGCACTTTGATTTCTTCGAGCCAAATCGGAGGCCTCGAGCATTGGGGGGTTAGTGTGTCCATTAGGGAAGCCTGGTGAGGGACCCAGGAGGGTGCAGAAGGGTACTGGACTTCACAGGCTTATGGGTCACTCAGAAGGAGATGGCTGAAAAGCACAGCACTGACCACTTAGATTGTTACATTCAGGAAAGGTTTGAAGGGAAGTAGATAATTTATATGTTTGTTTCACACACCAGGAGTTCTCCTGAAATAGCCTATCATCAGATTCATCGACAGAGGGGCTGTGATAGGAAACAATTAGTATCCCTAATTTCTAACTTTAGGTCTAGGTAACCCAACAGGCTGTGGGGCCAATGCCTGCCTGAAGACCGGAGGGCACAGGCAACACGCAGGTGCTTACCGGATGACTGAGTCGATCAGTCTCTAACGAGGACAACAGTTGCCCAGCTATTTGGAGAATATACTCCCAGACTCCTTCAGTTGAGATCAAAGAACTTAGACACGACTTACGTGAGAAATTTCTACCCCACGGCTAAACCCTCCCACGTTCCCACGTGTGAGTCTAGTTGAAAACATGCATATTTACCAGCAACACGAACAACCAAGGCCTCGCTTACTTCATGTCCCCACAAGTCCCCCTCTGTGTGCTATAGGTTGTGCAAGTTTATATAAAACTCAAGGACGTACCTCAGCCCAAAACTCGGCGTATATGTCATTTGCCGTCAGCTTTGTCACTGGCCACAGTTTCGTCACGGAACAGAGATCACAGGCGGTCATCATCAGCCCAATGACGCGGTCCCTAGAAGGCAACCAAAGCACACTGGTCAGCTCGGCGGCTGCACACTGGTCAGCTCGCCAGCTTGCGAGACTGCTGCATTTTCGGGAGTGAGGCTTCCGGTCTGTCTTCCTTTGGGATGGGGAACAAGAACACAGAACGGAGACACGCCGCTCACAGGCAGGACATGGACCGGTAGGAGCCTCAGGTGCTCCTACCTCAAGCTCTAAGAGGGCATGCCAGATCCCTGTGGTCGGAGTACGTGTGGCACACAGGTGTGTCTGTCTCAGGAGAAGCACAGCCCAAATGCTCCTGGGTGGCCAGACTTGGTCTCAGTTACTTCGGACATGTCGTCAGGAGAGACCAGTCACTAGAGAAGGACATCAGGCTTGGCAAAGTGGAGATGCAGCGAAAAAGAGTAAGATCCTAGGCAAGATGGACAAACACAGTGGCTGCCAACAAAGGCTGCAGCATCACAACAATTGTGAAGCTTGCACAGGCCGGGGCAGTGTTTTGTCCGGTTGTCCATAAGGTGCCACGAGTCGGAATCTGCTTGGCTGCACCTCATGACAACAATGGTCATGATACGAGACTGCAAAGTCCCTGGTGGCCCTTCTCCCCACCCGGAGGAGCCGCAGAAGTCAGGCCAGCTGGTCTGCTTCCATAAACAGTGCAGCCAGGAAACCGGCGGCAGCAGCTCTGTCCTTGGGTTGCCAGGAATTGAAATGGGCCTGACGGCAAGGGGCAAATGCAGAATGCCATCTGTATAAGCCGATCACCTGACTTGCTTAATGTGACTCGGATCCTGAAAAACAAGCCCATTAGCATTTTCTCAGGAAGCCGGCCTTTGGATTCTAGCAGGTCCATGGCCCACCCCTGGCCGTTCTGAGAAGTCGGCATCTGCTCTTTCCTTTCCGTGCCTGCTCCTGCAGGGGGAGCTTGCGTTCCCATGTGTATTTTCCTCGGCCTCAGCACCTCCTGTGGGCAAGTCCATCGTGGCTGCTGCGAGGAGCCGTCCAGTCACTTCCGGCTCACTGCGACCCCGTGTCCAACCAAACAACACCTCCCGGTCCTGCGGCACCCTCACCATTGTTCTCCAATCGCAGCCCACGGTTGCAGCCACTGTGTCCACCCATCGTGAGGAAGGTCTCTCCTTGTGAGGGCACCCCTCGACGTTAGCATACATGATGTCCTTCTCCACGGACTGGTCTCTCCCGACAACATCCCCAGAATATGTGAGACAAAGTCGCTCCATCCTGCCTTCTAAGGAGCATCCTGGCTCCACTTCTTTGAACAGCCCACAGTCGTCTCAGTACGTGTTGCCAGAGCCACCTTTCAGATGTGTTACAGATTCTTCTTCGACCTTCCTTATTCGATGTCAGACTTGACGTGCTGATGAGGTGATGGAAAACACCCTGGCAATGGTCAGGCGCGCCTTAGTCCTCAAAGTAACCTGCTTGCTTTTCAACACATTAAAGAGTTCTTGGGCAGTAGAGCAATCCAATGGATTTATCCAATTGCCAATGATCCAATAACGGAGTGAAGACCTCGAGTGTCTACAACCTGAATTCAACAACTTCTCAAGAACAGATTTGACGCATTGAACACTTAATGTCAGAAGGCATTATGGGTGTTCTGATGAACAATTCTGTAAAACACCACAACATCCCCAAAGCAGTTCTACATCAAATGCACACCTGAAAAGCACACTGGCATGATGTTTGTTTGTATTACCCCCCTCCCTCCCTCAAACAGGCATGTCATCCAGGTAGCCTTGCCGCAGGCTCCGGAGCATTGGTTTGTAAAAGACCACCTGTACCTGTGCGATTGGTTGTTGAGGTTCAGCGAGCCGGTCTGGTACATCTCCTCCAGCTGCTTCCTGTTCCCGAAGTACAAGGCGAGGTCCGTGGCAATGATGGCTTTTCGGATGATCTCCAGCACCTGCTCGTACTCCCCGGAGCTCAGCGTGGAGAAGATGTTGTGTCCTTCCAACTGTGAGAAAAGCACACAGATCGGAAGCCGCCCGCGACACACGTACGCACACAGGCAGTGCCCGCCTGACTTGCAGGTTGCAGCTCTGGGGGAAACCAAAGCAGCATTCAAAGTGACGCTGAAATGGGCAGCATGTTGCTTCCTTTTACAAAAGAGACCACACAATGGAGCTACCATCACTATATGCGGCTATTTAGATGGCGGGGACATCTCTTGTTCCAAGAAAATCCAGTCACATCAACCAATCTTTTAAGAATAATAAAGGCATTCTCGTGGTGCTAAGGATGAGGTGTGGAGTAGCTGCTGATAAGGTCGGTGGTTCAAAACCACCAGCTGCTCCTGGGGAGAAAGATGAGGCTGCCAGCTCCTGTAAAGATGTACCATCCAAGAGATGGAATCCATTCTAGGCAACTAACACCACCACCAAAAAGTCACAGGGTACAAGGAAACGCTGAGGGCCTTTGCACAAGCTCCAGCCATGCCCGGTGCTAACGAGGAGCCAAAGGCAGGTGGGGATGTGGTCAGTCTGGTTTTCAGAACCATCCCAGAAGCCGACGTCTTTGTTGTCTGGGGCTGGAGGCAGACAGAGCAGCATTTCCTGCACACGTTTGTAAAATGTTACTCCTATTTTTAAACAACACTCTCTCCTGAAAAAAACTCTGAAACCCTATGCTTCCAACCTTTAAGGTCAGAGTTCTATACTTGCTTGCTTGCCCTCCTGATCCCCGCACTTCCTCCTCACTAACTTGCCCCAAACTGGACTGGGAGACTTTTTAAGATGGAGAAGTCTACGGAACTGATCATGTCCCATATCTTGAAATGACACAACACATTTTGGTACTTAATCACATGATACATCCAACCACTATACCGGTGTATTAAAACTTAAGACTGTTGGTGGTGGGGGCTACAGTCGGTTCTGACCCACAGCAACCCCCTGCACAGCAGGGAGAAACACGGCCCAGTCCAGCTCCAGCCTCACAGTGTTCCTGTGCCCGAGCCCATTGTTGCGGCCACTGTGTCCATCCATCTCCTTGAGGACCTTCCTCTGTTTTGGCTGCTTCTTCACTTTATTGGAGACAGGTCTCTCCGGACAACATGTCCTAACTCTGCAAGAAGTCTTGTCATCCATGCCTCTAAGGAGCACTCTGGCCTTACTTCTTCCAAGACAGATTGGTTTGTCCTTTCAGCAGTCTAGGTACTTTCAATCTTCCTCTCCAGCACCACAAGTCAAATGTATCGATTCTTCTTCAGTCTTCCTGATTCAGTGTCCAACTTTCACGTGTCTACGATGCAGTGGAGACTACCATGGCTTGAGTCAGGTGCACCTTAGTCCTCAAAGTAACTTCCTTGCTAGTCAATGCTCTAAAGAGATCTTGGGCAGCAGATTTGCCTAACACAATGCATCTTTTGATTCTTGACTTCTGTCTCCATGAGCATTGATTGTGGAGCCAAACAAGATAAAATCTGTGACAACGTCAACCCTTTCTCCATTTAGCGTGATGTTACCTATTGGTCCCGTTGTGAGGCGTTTGGTCTTCTTGACATTGAGTTGTAATCCCTACTGAACTCTGCAACCCTTGATCTTCCTCAGCAAGTGCTTCAAGTCATCCTTTCAGCAAGCAAAGTTGTGTCATCTGGGTATTGCAGGTTGTTCAGGGGCCTTCCTTCAATCCTGGTGCCACACTCTTCTTCATAGAACCCAGCTTCCCCGGCGACTTGCTCAGCATGCAGATTGAATAAGGATGGAGAGAGAATACAGCCCTGTCATCCCCTGACCTGACTTTCAGGCATGCAGTGCTCCCTTGTTCTGTTGGCACAGCGGCCTCTTGATCCATGTACAAGTTCTGAATGAGCACATCGAAGTGTTCTGGAATTCCCCTTCTCCGCAAGGTTACCCACAGTTTGGATGATCCACAGAGTGAAATGCCTTGGTGTGATCAATAAAATACAAGTAAACACCTTTCTGGTATTCTCTGCTTTCAGCCAAGATCCATCAGACATAGGTAGTCATATCTCTTGTTCTGTACCCTCTTCAGAATGCAGCCAGAACCTCTGGCAGCTCCCTGTTCATGTACTGCTGCTGCCATTGTTGGGTGACCTTCAGAAAAGTTAGACTTGCACATGATATAGGTGATATTTTTCTACAGTTTGAGCATTCTGTTGCATCATCTTTCTTGGGAACGGATACAAATATGGGTCTCTTCCAGACAGTTGGCCTAGTGCTGTCTTTCAAACTCCCGGCATAGAGGAGCAAGCGCTTCCCATGCTTCGTGTGCCGGTTGAAACACTTCAGTTCATATTCCATCAAGTCCTGGAGCCTTGTTTCTGGCCAATGTGTTCAGTGCAGCCTGAACGTCTTCCTTCAGCACCATTGGTCCTTGCTCATGTGCTCCCTCCTGAAACGGTGGGGTGTGCACTAGTCTCGTTTGGGGGTAGTGACTGTGCATTTATCATTTCTGCCCTCTTTGGATGCTCCCTGTATCATTCACAAAACGAGGACTAATGTTAATGATATAACACATCGGAGGCCATACCTCTCACTTGTCCATCCAGTGCTGCCACTTACCGGCTGTATTGATAGCGGTTAGATGTGGTCACATGTTGGGTGGACATTAGCTCACCCTTAGGAGGGGATGGACAATAAAGATGGAAAATGCTGTGTGCAGGCAACCGAAGCTCCAATAAATGACCGAATGAGTGCTATGCCATCTATGAAATTGGGGCCACATGGCTTCTCTTGGAGTTCAGTGAGAGGGAGAAGAAAACCAGACCAACCACCAGGTGAGTCCCCATTGAGTGGGTTGGGTGGCCAGCGGCTGCCTCTGTCCAGGATACACCTACAGATAGGGACAGACGACAGAGGTATTTGCCTCCGCATTCTACTCTGTGAGCAAAGCAAGCAGGGGGTCCAAAGTCCACAGCTGTGCCGCCATCGGCAGCAAACGCCAGCCCCACGAATGGCCCCGGGGAAAGGGGACAGTGCCGGAGGCAGTGAATCGGTCATCAGCGGCCCCTCTAACACAACGTGCGGGAGGACTTTCGGAGATGGGAACAGGTGTCCACAGCAGGTGATGATTCAAGACTCATGGAACTGCGAGAACGCCGTTTTCTCCACGATGAGAGGTGTCCCCTGAACAGGTCTGTCGGAGGACTTCATTCACGTGGCGTGTTTGCAGCAGGCGGAAGTCAGGGGTGAAAGGGGTGGCTTCATTCTCACCCCGTTAGGAAAGAGAATACGTAAATATATCCCAACACTGGCATGATCCCAACACAAACGCGGCATCACAATCTCAGACAACAGCAACCACCTGGAAACAGAACGCATCTGGGTGTCTGGTAAGAAAACGGTTCACTTTCTTGCCTGTAAATGTCTGAAAATTAACCTACTGAGTGAAGGCATCCGACCACTTTCCAAGCAGGGGCCACCTCCGTGTTCCGTGACATGAAGCCTGTGCTCGCCTGTCTCTGAACGTTACCCATGTGGTTCTGTCACCCTGAGTCCTCTCACCCACAGGTCTGCACTTGGTCTGCACTGGCCAAACTCGTCGCACCTCCCGTGTGCTAGAGGCTAGGGGAGATCCCCTTTCTCCTAGCGAATTTGGGCATGCGTTCAGGACCAGGGAACTTTCTCTTGCCTGCAATGTAACATAAAAGCAACTAAGGCCTGAGTGTGCGGAGGAGCTCAGGGGCCTGCCACAGGGCAGTAGGTGACCCCATGCCACATGGGGGCTCAGAAACACATTCCCAGAGGGGACATCTCCCTGCTCATTGGAAGGAGGGGTCCAAAGGGGGGCAGTGAGGAACGCAGACAATGACACCAAAGCTGACAAATTCCAGGAGCGGGAGGAACAGGGGGGGTCTGCACCAGGCAGCGCCCACTCATCAGAGACAAGCCTGCTGCCTAGAAGCCAGGATCACAGCCTGGATGCAGAGGGCCACTGGTGCCGCAAAGCAAGAGGACAGAGACGGTGGCATATGTGTGTGGGGACAGATCTGAGGGGCTCAGAGGAAACATAAGTCTGCTGCTGCCACCTCTAAGCCAAGCCTCCTTCCTGCAGACACGGGGAGAGAGTAGATGTATCCCCGGGAGTTTCCAGGGGCTCCACCTCCCTGGAAGTGGGGACTGCTTTCCTTGCTGAGCAGCCATCAGGTCCAGGCACTGACCTTCAGCTGGGAGCTGAGTGCTGGTCACTGCACCACGGTTTAGAGACAGGGCGATTCAAGAGGGGAGAGCCACATGATGGAGCAAGCCCCAGGTGTGGTATGTAGCAGTGAGGGGGTCAAGTCCCAACTTTTCCCCTGGCCCCAAGCTCAGGGGGGACACAGTGTGATGGTGACTCAAGGGCACGCAAGGCTGAAGAGCCCCTGAGGGTCCAGAGCCTCGCCACCCCTACCTGCTGTCCTGCCCCTGCTCCACGTGGTGAAGTGAGGCCTGCCATAGGCTGGGCCCATCGCCCATGGTGCCTTGACACCGGCAGTTAGAAAAGGGCAGACAAGGGCTGTGGGGCGTCCACCTTCTCAGGCTCGCTGCTCAGAGCCGCTGCTGTCTTCTCCTCCTCCTCCT